CGATTGAACGTTGTCTGCAACTTTCACTAAACTTACCTTTACCACACGTGTTCCGATGCCTTAACCTTGTCTTACAGAAGCTACTTTACATACGTCTGTATTTTCGCCTCGTTTGTGTCAATACTGAAAATAAACAAACCTAACCTCAACATTTGTTTAGAAGACAAAGGTAACGGTCCAAATGGACGGCTGCATAGCTTTTCGGATGCGTAACAACATATAGCCAGTTACCGGGCATTGAAAAATATAATATTTCCCCAAGTTTGTTCCAAATTGGTCCTATACTTTAACGTGAATTTGGATTACTGTTCCAAGATACGTCTATTTTAATCTGTGTGTGAAAACAACACAAAGGGGTTAATGCGAGGAAACAAAAACACTTTTACATCGAAAAGACAAATTAATAAAATTTAAACTACAGGGATGAAAAAGATTTTGAGTAATTAGAATTAAAAATTAAGAAATCATGAATAAAATATAGAGGGAATAAATGAAAGATTTATAAAGAGTAAGAGAACGAGTTATCAGCCAGAAAAGAATCACTCAATTAGGCCTATCAACAAAAAAATGTAAGAGTTCCAGTAGAACCGATAAACAGATTGAGAAAACGAACATGAAACAGCCTAGTTCTTGATAGAAGATTATAACATTATACATAGAGATAAGACTAGTAGGCTATATCGATGGATAAATATCTGTGTTAGAAATTTCTTTGCTATATTTTTTGTTCATTATTTTGCAGTTCGAACTATTCATTAAATAATCGTGTCTTGACTGCTTACACGCGTAATTCCATTGTTTTATAGGCTCTTAATTTAATCCAAATTTCTTTGATAGGCTACAATGAAAATTACGTGCCTAAACGATCGCTCGTCTAAATATTGTTTTAAAAATCGGTTCTTACCCCCAAGAAAATACACCGCATTTATGAGAAATTTTGTTTATTTAGACACAGCGAGCCGTACTCTGTCAGTGACATACCCAGTAACTGAAAGACAACTGGTACACATAGCCTACTACTGGCCTCTGAATTTGTATTTAGGCGGCGACTGGTAAGTGGTGTTAAAATAGTCGGCTCATTTCTAACCAAGCTTTCTACTTCGCTAGACCATTACATCAGAATCGTAAAACAAGGGCGCACAGCGACCAGTAGACGACACATCCAAATTGAAACGCAAGTTCTTTGAAAATTTTAAATTGCATTTTGTTACCCGGGGCGTAAAATAATTCAATTCGACCCGAAGCATGGATCAAAAACACTGGCTCACACAAAGATGGAAATCCGTTTAAGACTGCCTTGGGCAGTAGGCCTCTTTGCGGTCATCAGACACGGAACAAATCTGTGCCATCATCTCTCGCCGATACAATTCATTATTATGGCAGAAGGGGTTATTCAATTCTGGAAATTCTCAACGTCCATACTAGATGGTTAGCTACACGTTGAAG